GAATCAACCTCTTGTTGTTCCATAGTAGCAGTGGTCTCCTAAGTCAGAGGATCATGGCAGGCAGGGTATTGTTGATGTGCCAAGTATTCTCATATATCCAGTTATTTCCTTTATTATCTCAGCTTCAGTATGGAGTCTCTCCCCCTGATCATTTTTAAGGTTCCTGATGTGATTCTGTGAATACCTGTGCTTCATGGAGGCAAAGAAGTAGGCAGTATTAGAATCACCTTCTTTTAGCCACTGAATTCTAGACTTTTGCTTGTATATGCTTTCCTCGATACCACTCCATTTCTCCAATTGACATTTTAATTCCCTTTCTTCCTCCATTAGCATGGTGTTCAGGTAGTCGGCACTTAACTTCTCTTGCACCTCTTGTAGATGTAGTCTGACCTCCTTAATCTTCTTATCTACACCAATGAACTGCTCAGTATTGAGTCTTTTCAAATTCTGTTTAACCCCCTTGAGTTTGTCCCATATTGCTCCCATGTTCTTCCTATTCGTCTGTATGTTCCATCCCTCCTCAACTGCCTGTTGGAATTGTGTATGTTCAGCTATGCAATTGAAGAATTTAAAAGGCTTTCCTCCTCTTTTAGGTGATTCAGTGAAACTGATGCTCAAGGGTGAGTGATCAGAAAAGTGAGGCTCCAAAATATGAACTACTTGTGTGGTCATATTGATCATCCAATCTGCATTTGCAATGGCTCTATCGATTTTGCTATATGTGTGGCTATTTGTCCATGTATACTCCCTTCCAAATGTTTTAACTTCACAGAATCCTGTATTCATTAAGAATTCCCTGAAGTCTCTTGTCTCATATTCTTGTACAGGTGAACCATGCATTCTGTCTTCTTGATGTAAGATAGTGTTAAAGTCCCCCATAATGATCCATGGACCCTGTTGTATTTGTGTTATGCTTCGTAGACTTATCCACATGCTTTTCCGATCCTGAATTGAGTGAAGACCATAAACAGCTGTGAAGTGGAAACTCAGGTTCAGATCATATATCTTAGTCACCCCATGTATATACTGTATCTCTTTAGTGAGCAGAACAAAATCTATACGTCTTGGATCCCAGATTATCCATATTCGACCTTTATTGTTAGAGCTAGCATTGGAAATCCATCTCCAACCTTGAGCTATCTTCTGGATTATTTTGGTTTCCAACTTTTCTACTACTCTATGCTCCAGTAT